CGCCGGCAAGCACCCTGACCGCCCGGCCGCACGCCACAAGGCGCCGAGCCTCGGCCGGGCCCGGGTGGCGGCCGCCGGTATCCTCAGCGTGGGCAACGTGCTCAACTACCTGGACCGGTACACGGTGGCAGGTGAGCGCACTCCCCCGCATCCCTCCCCGCGGCGGCGGGGACGGGCTCCGCCCGGGCACGGGGCGGGGTGGGGGGGCAGCGGGGCTCCTCCGCCGGGGGCTCCGCTTGGCCGTGTCCGGGCAAACGGTGGGGGATGCGGCGTGGCCGCTGCGGCTGGTGCCCGGACCCTCCGGTATTGTTGTCTAGTTTGGATTTGATAGGAAATAAAAGGAGGTGGCCTTTGTTCGGCTGGGCTCGGTGGCGGAGTGGATGTTTGGTTTGGGGGTTTTTTTTGGAGGGGGGAAGGGGGGGGGTGTGGATGGGAAAGGAGGGATGCCGGGCCAAGGTGAAAAAGATGAAGACAGAGATCACAAGGACTTTTGCCAGAAAACTTTCAGGCTGAGTTCAAGGGCAACTTGATCAAAGGAAGGGAACAGCCAGGCGGCTGCGGGAAAAAAAAAAGAAAACAAAAATATCTCGAGGTAAACGTTTAAAAAAATCCCTCAGCCCCCGACGGGTGGGTGTCACCGTGCGGTGACTGCCCCCCGGTGTGCCCCGGTGACTGCCCGGGAAGAGATGCGCGTTGGGATGTTTACTGTACGGTCCCCAGAGGGGACTCCTCATTTATTCTTGTCAGGCAATAACAGCGGGGGAGAAAATGATTACTGAACTTTTTGTAATTAGAAATGAAGTGGGCTTGTTGGTATTCGACTGTCTCGTGTAATTAAAACATAATGCATATTCCGTGTTTGGCAATACTGATAATTTTATCTTCGGAGCTTAGAAAGGGGTTTGTGCATGTATAAATTTTGCTCTATGCATATTTTAATCACTAGGAACTCAACGTGGTGTTAAACAAATCAGGTATTTGTTTATGCTACATTAAAATAATATATGTTTGTAGGGCAGTAATAGAGCGCAAGGGACATAAATCTAGTCACTGTTGTCAGAATAAGTTGGCCAGGTTGGCTTTGTTTTGTCTGCGGTAGGGAAATGGGGAGGATTAGAAGGAAAACTTAACTGACACTGTTGGGGCTTTTTTTATTATTGTTTGTAGACAGAGCTTGCTCCTTCAGGAAGCGTAAAGGCCAGTCTTGGGAGGTATTGAGTACTGGGCTGGTGGTCAGCACGTTACAGGAGGAAGCTTTAAAATAGAAGGCTGATCTGTTATTACTGAAGGAAATTGTAGTTTGCTCACTCACCCTCAGACAGGAATCTGTCTAGTAAAGAGATTTACCACAAAGCACCATTTTCCTTTAATGCATGGGAAATGTATTTTTTCAAGAGACTATCCCCCACCTCGTGCACTCTTAGTCTGTTTATGTTTTTATTTTCAAATGGTGCATTATCTTGTTCATCCATTTGCCCTAGTAGTTTCAGCAAGACCTTTATAATCTGATTTTTTTTTTTTTCTTTTTGCCTGCATGGGATGCTCTGGCAAAGGAAGGCAGAAGCATCCTCATTTCTGGGAAGGCTGGAAAGTGCCTGACCAGAGGGTAAAAATGCCTGCCTGCTGTGATGCAGGATTGCCAGTCCCAAAGCTGCCATTGCCAGTATTTTCTAGGAGAAGCTCTGGTATTACAGTGCTCAGGAACTGCCCCGTGGAACTTACCTGTTAGCTTCCAGCTTGGTATCAGAGGTTTAAGATCTCAGACATCAGACTCTCCTCTGGGGACAGACTCAAATGTCGCATGATCTTTTTGTCTTCTGTCAATTGGTATTTATTTTTCAAACTGGTGTTTCATAAAGTCCTAATCCAAAACAAGGAATAATTTAAATTTGGTCTAATAGAAGAGTTTTGGGAATCAAAATGATGTGTTTTGAGCTCAAAACTTACTCTATAATAAAGCCTTCTTTAAAAGCAATCTTTGCTTTTATATTTTGAGTCTTAGTGCATACCACATGCTTATGTGACGTGCACTTGCATATGAATCAAGCTGGCACTTTGAATATTCAGCTCATGTCTCAAGACAGGTAATAATTAGTGAATACAGCTCTTCAGACCTTCAAAGTACGTTTCAAATATGAATTGTTGCAGCAACGTAACGAGGGAGTTTAGCACTAGCCACGTTGTGGCAGGGAAAGTAGCATCAGAAGTTATGATTTACCTAAGGCCAGTGAACTGTTGTGAGAACGTGAATTAATTTCTGGTTCGAGCTCTATTTGAAACAAGTGTTAGATGAGGAGCAGTGCCAATGGAGACTGGTTCCTGAGGATTTGTGGCTCTAGGGTGATCCCTCCTGGGGGTTCTCTGACGTCAAATAGGAGTTGACCTTTGTCATTAACCTTCCTCATCTTGTCTTGTAAGAGTCACTCCGCAAACCCAACCTTTTCTTTTTTTTTTTTTTCTTTAAATGAAAGTGTTGGGTGCTTTGGGACTACTTCCTGCTGTCAAATTTAGTCAAAAGCAGGTCAGTGGACTCAAAAGCAATTAGTAGGCAGCTGACAGATGGACACAAGCAAAGAGTGAATCTAGTTCTATGGGCACGATACTGCGAGTACGTCTTCTGTCTTACTTGAAAACTTTGTTGCAACCAGTTCGGTCTTCCTGGTCACAAATGCAAGTATATATTTAGTGTGTATATATATAATAAGTATATGCAAGTATATATTTAGTCACTAAAAAAAAGATGGTGTATGGAGTTCTTTGTTGCAAATGTAATTCCCTGGGTGTCTTCCAGCATTTTCTAACATAACCACACAGAAGCTAGATAATCTGCATCCAGTCGATGCAAGGGGATCGTAGGTAATAGAAAGAACCAGGCTGAGCTCTCCTACAGCACGTCCTGCTCCTAAAAGTAAAAAGCAAATGCTTTTGCATTGCTAAAGAGTAAATCGCAAATGTGGTGTTCCTTGGTGTTTACATTTTGGATACAAAAGCATCGTGTATAATGAGTTGTTCTTGAGTAATCTTTTTTCAGGTGCACCAAACAAGGAAGTAGCTGCCTGTTCCCCTAGTTTGGGGTTGATGCCTTCCCAGTATGGATTAAATGAGTTTAGGGCGAGATGTGTGTTTTGGTATCTGGGGTGTTCAAACCAGAACTTGAGTGCAGTTTCTGAGACACAGGACATCTAGGGCTTCACACCTGACACTGGGATGCAGCTCTTTTGGGAATACATGATAGAACTGGGCCTCCGCTGAGGACTGGGCTGCTTCTTGTGGCTTAAGAATAAGCTTCTTCCAATAGTTTACAAATAAAATGCCTGCACAGTAACAGTGCAGTATTGCAATACTGAAAGTGCAGTCTTTCAGTAATGTCCTCATGTTTACACAGAGTTGGAAATTTCCAGTGAGTGTGGGGAATGTTAAAATATAATGATATTTGGGAGAAGCTGTCCCAGACAAGAAGTGGGAGTGCCTGTGCTGTGGCTCTTCTAAAGAAAAGATTGAAAACTCTGTGCTGAACATTACTGACTTGAAGGGAAACGATCCTCTGCAATTTTCTTAATAGGTCTTTGATCATACTGAAAACAGTTGCCTGTGGAAAAAGCATTCTTTCAAGAGCTGTGATATTTTGTTGCTATTCGGAAAGCAAAGAGTAAGGAAAAGGGAAAACTATCAGTAATGAAACCATTACAGATTACCTGTGAAACGACAGCAGCTCAGCCATCTGGTGATGCCGGGGCATACCTTCCTCCTTAATGAAGTTTTGGGAAAAGTCATCTTACCTTCAGAAGCTTGGAATGTGGTTTCACAACTATGCCATGGATGACCTTCTACTGAGCCTTGCTGTTGACGATGAAAATAGTCTTGCTTCATTAGGGTGTCACCTCCACCTTCTAATTCAGACGCTACTTCCTGGCATTTCTGTAGTGCCTTTAATTTAAAGGTAATGATTTAATTAAGCTGAAGAACTACCCAGTGAAGTAAATGAGCCTTGCTACCCCACTACAGAAGGGGAAGCAGAGCCGTAGAGTGTTGGGATTTGCCTGTGGTAATGTAGTTAGTGGCAGAGTCTTGGCTGGTATTAGTTCATCCTTGAGGTTCTCTGTCCCTGTGACACAGTACGCCATAGGCTTTGGTCTGCTGTTTTTGCCCTGTAAATGTCTGTAACTTGCTAATAACCATATTTGTGTTAATTAGCCTCTCATTACAACACATAGTTGCAAATCAAATACCATTCTTTGAAGATACATACATGCAAATGATTATTGAAAGTTGAAAGTCAAGTTTAAAACTATGTAGTACAAGCTACAGCTGAAGGGTTAGGAAAGGTTCAACACTAACTCTCAAGTGCAAAAACATTGAAGAGGTTATAAGCCAAAACTGCTGCTTTTTTACTTGCCAGCTCCCATTTGTGATAGTAAAATGTTACCTCATGGTGTGTTTCATACTGAATGATCCTCATGCAGGCTGAGATCTCAGGTATGGAATAGGATAAAGAGAACCTTTCTCCTCATTGTAGCAAGACTGTGCCCAGTGCTTATAGTTTCAGGGAGGAAACCATTGAGTGGCAGCACGAGCTCTTCACTTTTTGTCTCTTGTTGAGCTAATTTCAACCAAGGGCTCAGCTGTGGAAGGAGGGCAATGATGGAAAATATTAGAGAAGGATATTGACAGAACAAACTTGAGCTGGCAGTGCCCTAGCTCACCTGAGAATTTGCAAAAGGAGGACAATATTGTGCTTGGACAATAAGGTACCTGTCGCTGGCACCGAATTCCAGCAACACTGCTGTGTGAGCACAGGCTGGAAGGACTGAACCTCACGGATTTCAAAAGTGGGCAAGAGAGAGCACTCGGCAGCACAGTGACAAGGGCTGTGTAGTAACACCTACCTCTCCAACGTGGTGTTTTCCCCGTGTAATGGGCTTTATTGCATAGTCAGCGGCTTCCTCTTTGCCAGTTCTTACCCGAGTTGGCAGGATTTGTTCCAGAGTATTTTACATTTCAAGTGAATTCTTATTATGTTTAATCATAGTATTTTTCTTCCTTGTGATGTAGGTTTGCCAGATAGTTACTATCTTTGTTATTATGTGCAGATTTTCCTGTTTGACTCTGAGATCCTCTTTCATGCATGTTG